GAATCATGTGTTTTCTAATCCATTCTGTTAGTTTCTGTCTTCTAATTGGTGTCTTAGTCCATTCAGGCTACTATAACAAAATACCTTAGACTGGGTAACTTAAAAACAACAGAAATTTATTGCCCACAGTTCTGAAGGCTGGGAAGTCCAAGATCAAGGCACCTACAAACTCAGGATCTTATGAACACCTTCTTCCTTATCGATGGAAGTCTTTTCACTGTAACCTCATATTAAAGAAGGGACAAACAAGTTTCCTTAGGTCTATTGTATAAGGGCACTAATCCCATTCACGAGGACTCTGACCTCATGACCTCATCACCTCCTAAAGGCTCCATCTCTTAATATTGCATTGGGGATTAGGTTTCAACATTTGAATTTTGAGGGGGACACACAAACATTCAGACATGGCAATTGGTGAGTTTAATCCATTTACACTTAAAGTGATTTCTGATAAGAAAGGACTTTTGACATTTTGTTGTTTTCTGTATATTATATCCTTTTTGTTCTTCAATTCCTGCAATACTGTTCTTTTGTTGATTTTTTCTATAAGGTTATCTTCATGCCAGGTGTGGTGGCTCATGCCTATAATCTTAGCACTTTGGGAGGCCAAGGCGGGAAGATTGCTTGAGGTCAGGAGTTCAAGACCAGCCGGGAAAACTGAGCAAGACCTCATATCTACAAAAAAAGAAAAATTAGCCAGGCGTGGTTGTACCAGGTGCATGCCTGTAGTCTCAGCTACTTGGGAGGCCGAGGCAGGAGGATCACTTGAGCCCAGAAGTTGGAGGCTGCAGTGAGCTGTGATGATGCCACTGCACTCTAGCCCTGGCAACAGAGCAAGAGACCCTGTCTTCTCAAAAAAAAAAAAAAATTATCTTTGAAAATCATGCATTAAGAAAATATACATGTAAAACTACCTACAGTGCCAGAACTCTACACAACATAATTTTTATATGCAAGAAGAAGAAACATTTCTGTCTGTATGTGCATGTTGTATTTATTAGAACCCTTTTGGTTGAGTATCAGAAACCTAATGCAAACAAATTTAAGAAAAACAATGGGTGGTGGGTAATTTATGGCTTAGTAACTAGGAAACCAAGGCAGACCTACATCTAGGAGGTCAGAGATGTCATCAGGACTCTCTCTTCCTCAGTCCCTCTGCTCTACTTGGCCTTATTTTCAGAGGCTTTCCAC